CAAACCTTACTGAAAATACTGTCCAGGGTCAGATCTGGGGGTCTCACTTCCTTGCAGAATTCCCAGCTAGTGCGGATGTCTTAGAGGAGGTCATGCTTGTGTGACTCTTTTGGGAGCCTGCTGGCTGGGAGGATGGTTTCTTTTTCATCACTGGAGTTTTGTTCTTGCTTTTAAATACCTTATTGGGGTCGAGCTTGTTCACAAAGGTATCAGCTTCTTCAGAGAGGAGAGCTGTATTGATGGTTATGGGTTTATACATGTTAAACCATTGCTGAAAGGCAGAATGGTGGGGGAAAAAAAAAGGTTAAAATAAAACTGCAGTTAGGTATTCCCACCTTGTTCACTCTCATCCCTGAGACCTGATTTTAATCATATACCACTTAGCAGTTTGCACTTCACAGGATTGCACAGAGTGCCTTGTAATAAGGCTACACAGGGCACAGCTATAGCTACAGCCCTGAAACTGCCCCACATTCTAAGCAGGGAAAAGGAAAACCAGACACAAGCCTACATTACCTTTCTGGCAGTGTATATTAGGAGCAACTCCTGATTGAAACCACAGGAGGAAAAGCAAAGGGAGTGGACAAAACTAAATAGTATTTATTCGGATTCAGAGAAGAAGAAACAATTAAAAAAACCTCATAATTTAAAACTGCTTAAAAATAGGAAGAAAACTAGTTGAACTTCTCAAAATGTTGTCTCTGTCCACCTCTTCAGACACACACCATTTTTTAACTCTTTACACAAAGGACTTTGTGTTTGTTTCATTTGGGTCTGATTTTACACCTAGAAGTGACCACAACAATTTTCTTTTTTGGTTTCCAGATACCACCACAATGTTATGCTCTGTAGTTCTCATCTCTTCATGTTTTGCCTGTTTTCCACTGATGAAATCAGGGAATAAACTGTAGCGGTTACGGTGTTACAACTACTGAAACCATAAGCAAGGTTTTGAACAAGATAAACAAAAGATCATTACCAAAATGTAGATGAATTAATCTATTAATGTACTGCTTAATGGAAAACAGTTTTAATAAACAGCTTCAAAAATTATAATGGTTAACATACTATGAGGATTTTAAGTAAGAGAGGCTGCAAATGATTAGGGAATACATGAACAATTTCACTAAGGTTTGTGAATATACTGAACATCCTATAACATTCTAGCAGTAAAGTTACAGAAAGGCAGAGCACAGGCATGTATTAAGAGTACCATCTACACAGCCTTGAATGATAAAGTAAAGCACAGTATAACAGGGAAGACACCAGAAATACAAAGAACCAAATTCTACAGGCATTGGTAGATGGGAAATAGGCAGTGATTTTAGCAAGTAGTTCTGATGTATGCCCAGGGCTGAGGCAAACCAAGCAGTGTTGTGCTAGTAGGAGAGCTGTCATGTCTTGGTGAAGTGCAGACCCTCCCTGAGACCTGCCAGACCTTGCCAATATGCACAGACATTGACAGGCTTATGTGCTGTGCTTGGTGGTACTGTCAGATTCATTCCTCAGCGTCTTAGGGTGTAAGCATGGTTAGGGCTGAAGGCTCAGTCAAGCACTGAGAAATGGCAGAAGCCTCTAACAGCAGGGTTCTCACAGAGCAGAATAGTAATTTTAATCATAATCATAATAATAATGTGCTGACTGGTCATGAGGTGGTACCAGAAGCTCTCCTATAAATACTTCTGAGACTGCCAGCATGGAAAATGTCTCTCTTTGGACAGAAGTTTTATCAAGGTATTTCTTCATGACTGAGGACATTGCAAGGGAACTCATGTTCTTGACAAGTCTCAAGCTCACAGTCTTCCATTGGGCTTCTGCCTAATGCGTACCTGGTCTTTCTTCTTCACCCAGAGAGCACTAGCCTTTTGTTTGGTGTTATGCCTAGAAAACTTATCTAGACAAATCTTACCTAGCTGTGGGGACACTTAGCTTTATATCTACTCACTTGCCAGCAGTCATAGAATGTAGTTTTGCTTCAGAGTCAAGAAAGCAGTGAAATAACTGAGGTTCCACCACTTGCTATCAGAGGTCGAAGGTGACAAAGACAAAGTTAGTGAATTCACCAATACAAATACCGTTAGGCTATGGCAAAAGATTTACCGCCCCTTCCATTTCTCACTAGGCCCACCTGAACCTACAGGCTGCTTGTCAAAAGGTGGGAAGATGTTTTTCCAGATTATACTTATGCAAAAGGAGATGTCCCTGCTTACTGCAGTGGAGTTGGACTAGACAGCCTCTCCAATCCAAACTGTTCTATTATTTATCCAATCCCAACTGCTCCATGACTCCATGAAGATACTACAAGATGGATCCTGCTGTCCTACCTTGGCCTGGGGGCTGACCCCATAGCTGGTGAAGGCATACTGCCACTGTGGGAGACCCAGGTGGGTAATGAGCAGGCGGTAATACGCTGTGAAGGTTTTGGTGAGGAAATGCCAATATAGAGCTCTGTCCAGGAACCATATCTCTGTGTCTGCGGAGACAACTGGAGCAAAACAAACATAAATTACACAATTGCACTGCAGTGATAAGATCAGCCCCTGGCTACTGTCAGGTGGGAGACACAACACACTCATCAGAAAGGCTGTAGCTTCTAAAACACAGTGTCCCTGATTAACGTAGATGATTATCCAGATGCAATGTGGTTTAATGGTTAGAGCACAGGATTTGAAAGGGACTTGGTTCTGCTCCAAGCCTTATAAGAATACTCATGCAATAGTAATTATATTCACTTTCCCCACTGTAAAATGGATGCAGTGCTATTCTTTCTGAGCCTTGGACTGATGCACTACATGAATATGCTTGGACATCAACAATTTTGAGTTTCAGTTCAGAGTACAACTACGGTAAACATTTATCTGCCCCGCAAAGTAAAAAACAACTAACTTAATCATCGGTCGTCTGGATTACTGAATAGAGTGCAGAGTCTGGAAGTCATGGGAGTGTGTGCTGCCAATAAAAACACATTTTGCAAATCTTTCCACAGTGATCAAATATTTATCTGGTGGCAACATCCTTTGTAGCATAAAAAGAAGTGGATTTACTTGGGAAAGTGAGTTGCTGAACATTTTTAATTAAACGCATTGTCCCCTGTGTTGACATCTCTAACAATGCTCCCTCCCCTGAAATCACTAACTCTGGGAGGGAAGAGGACAAGTAAGAAGTTTCTGCCTTGGGAGCTGCAGTCACATTCAAAGAAAAAGACACAAGATAACAACCAAAGAGTTTTCTTAAGAACAGGTACATATCACAGTTGCACACCCCCATGCAGTGAACACAGACGCATACGTGTAGTGTTCTGTGCACTGTGTCAGATGACATGTACTTGACAAGTGACTTGGGTGTTTCACTAATTCCTGACTGATAACAGTTTTCTGTGTAATTGTCAGAATAAACACCTCACCTCACATCTTTCAACCTCCTATTTAACCCTTCCTGCCAAATTTTGACCTAGTTAGCATCTGGAGGCTCTGCATCCATGCATGAGGTGCAAGAACCAGTCTAAGGCTGTCTCAGTCATTTAAGGACCTTTTTTATCATCTACCCTTTGCCCTTATAAGAGTTGCAGAATTATTCCAAGACAAAAAAATAATCAGAGATATGTTAGTGGATGAGTTCTAGCTCTCTGTATTATTTCAACATGATTGTCTGTAGATCAAATGTGAATGCTTTTCTGTTTCTATGAATGCAGAAATCATGTTATAACTCAGATTCCAACATTTAAAGGAGGAAAAAAACGTTAGCTTGAGTTTGGTCTCTGGAGGGTTTAACCCCTGACTTCAGTGAAGACAGGTCATCCTAGTAAATGTTCATCTACAAATTGCAAAGATCAGAAATGTAAGATGTTTCTACATATGTGGTATCTAAATACAATCCACAAGAAATGGTTAACTTTGCTCTTTTCTGTCCTACCTGGTTTAGCGTGCTTGTAAACCAGACAAACTTTCCCATTCCCATTGCATGGGTCTAATTCAAATATAAGACTACGAGAATCAAAGTGTGGTTTCTCTGGTTTGTCTCCATTACCTGAAAGCAGAAAAAAATCTCTGTGAAACATGTTTGGAAAACTGACCATGACTCAGCTGCAAAGCAGCAATCTACTTGATATTAATAAATTGGCTGCAGAAGAACTAAACCACTATTATATTTACACTTCTTGAAAAGGATTAAGTTTTGTGTGTTAAAACAAAACAAAACGAAAAACCCATGAGAAAAATTTCAATCTCTGGTAAGAAAACAAACCTCAGAGTCAAAATCAGATAGCTGAAATAAACATACAAAGCTGCCCTCTAGTCCTTCCCCGGCATAAAGCAAGATCAGCTTTAGAGATGTCACTCCTGTGAGTTGTTTGTCTGATCTTTCCTTAAAGCTCTCCAGTGTTGGAGATGCTACAATCTCCAGGCAGTCAAGCCAAATCCATTGTTAGCACTTAGAAGTTTTCTTCACGTGGATCCTGAATCTTCCTTGCTGCAGCTGAAGCTCATTACTTCTGTTATAGATGGTTCTGTTCATGTAGACCTGTTGGAGGATGTCCGGAGGAGGGCAAGGAAAATGATCAGAGGGCTGAAGCACTTCTCTTATGAGGACAGGCTGAGGGAGCTGGGGTTGTTCAGCCTGAAGAGAAGACTCCGGGGGGACCTTATAGCGACCTTCCAATACCTGAAAGGGGTCACTAAGATGACTGGGGAAGACCTGTTCACTAGAGCATGTAATGATAGGATAAGGGGTACTGGTTTCAAGCTAGAAAAGGGTAGATTTAGGCTGGACATTAGGAAAAGGTGGATGAGGGTGCTGGATCACTAGAACAGGTTGCTCAGAGAGGTGGTGGAGGCCCCATCCCTGGAGACGTTCAAGTATCAGGCTTGATGGGGCTCTGAGCAATCTGGTCTAGTTGGAAATGTTCCTGCTTATCATAGGGGGAACAGATTAGATGATGTTTACAGGTCCCTTCCAACCCAAGACATTCTACAACTCTGTGATTCTATCCACTGTCCCTTTTTTGCCCCACTTTCTTTTTTTCCAAGGAGGCCAGAAAGAACAGTTTATTGAAGTGGAGATATATCTATTTCTCGATATATTCTAGTGTGACATCAGTGTCCTTCTCCACAGCCACATGATCTGGCTTATATTCAACTTGTAACCCCCAACCATCACAGAGCACTTCTACAGGACCATTTTGGGAACATGTAACTACAAGTTCTTGCAGAATGGCTGAGGGAGCTGGGGTTGTTCAGCCTGAAGAGAAGACTCCGGGGGGACCTTATAGCGACCTTCCAATACCTGAAAGGGGTCACTAAGATGACTGGGGAAGACCTGTTCACTAGAGCATGTAATGATAGGATAAGGGGTACTGGTTTCAAGCTAGAAAAGGGTAGATTTAGGCTGGACATTAGGAAAAGGTGGATGAGGGTGCTGGATCACTAGAACAGGTTGCTCAGAGAGGTGGTGGAGGCCCCATCCCTGGAGACGTTCAAGTATCAGGCTTGATGGGGCTCTGAGCAATCTGGTCTAGTTGGAAATGTTCCTGCTTATCATAGGGGGAACAGATTAGATGATGTTTACAGGTCCCTTCCAACCCAAGACATTCTACAACTCTGTGATTCTATCCACTGTCCCTTTTTTGCCCCACTTTCTTTTTTTCCAAGGAGGCCAGAAAGAACAGTTTATTGAAGTGGAGATATATCTATTTCTCGATATATTCTAGTGTGACATCAGTGTCCTTCTCCACAGCCACATGATCTGGCTTATATTCAACTTGTAACCCCCAACCATCACAGAGCACTTCTACAGGACCATTTTGGGAACATGTAACTACAAGTTCTTGCAGAATATTATTTTGACATCTAAAGCTGCTAGAGAAGAGGGACTTAAAAGCTGTACTCTTCAGAAGAATTTTCCTTGAAAGAGAGTATAAGAACACTTGCATGGATGTAAGTTCTGCTCAGTCTGCCTTGTAAGTGCATTAGTAGATGTTTCAGTGGCTAAATGGAAGCAGTATTTGGTCCATTTCATTACAGTGGCTAGAAGATCAGGACTGCAGCCAAGCTGAAACGTGCAAAAAGAAACTTTCAGTCACATTTAGAAGCTACAAGACCTATAGAGATTCAGAGGTAAGACTGAAATCAAATAGCAATTTCTGATGGTGAGTCAGCATGATACCTGGCTCTGTTTTATATTTGTAATTCTTCCAGACTTGTTAGACTGTAAAAGCTCTGAGAAAAGGAGTGGTCTTTTTTCCTTCCTCTTCTCTCCAAACTTCAGGATGTCCAGCATTTTTAGGCAGTTCAGAACACACATTTTCCACTGATGCTTCGCACTTGCATGTATTTACCAGTTACTTTTCCAGTTCCAAAGAGCATCCCAGCTATCTTTTCACTACCCAGATAAAACCTGTTAACTTCTGTTCATGTAGTACCATAAGCAAAAAAAGACTTTAGAAGCTGAATCACTGGAGTAAGGCTCAGTTAAAAATTTAAATAGGAAAAAGGCAGAACAGGAGGGCTACCAGGCTGTTAAAAGAGGATGCAAATAATAGTAGTTACTGGCAGCACTGGCAATCCCCATGAGATCCACAGCATACAGATCTACCTGTCAAGGCTGCAGGGCACTAACAAGACACATAGTAGATCCAGCCCAGGAGACAAAGAAAACCCCATCTACTTGAAATGACCCTTACTGTTGCTATATCCATGTGCCAACCCTAACATTACCCTAACAGAGAAGAAGACATGAAAAAGCAGATTTTCTAGCCCATTAACGGGACCTTACCTTCCTCGTCTGTGTCGTCTTCCAGGTCAGCAAGAGTTGGTGCATTAGGCAGAGTGTACATGGAGGAGCCCCCCAGCCGACATAGCTTTGAGATACTATTGATCACCATAGAGCCCAGAGGCATTGGGGTATCTGTAATATAACTGATCATTAATCACAACCTGTGTCAGGAAAACATGAAAGGTATCTCTTTTCTTCCATTTATCAACTTCTTGTAAAAAACAGAGACGGAGAAGAGGTGGGAATACCCAGCAGGCAGGGACACTTACTCAAGTCAGGCTCCACAGGAGCAAAAACTAAGTTTTTTCAAACACTGAATCACATTTACAGGTGATGTGGCACCATGTCAAGAGTTGTGCAGGTACAAGAACTGTGCTGCTAACTAAGCCTGTGTTGCAGCTGTTAGCCCAGTCCTTTGGAACTGGCTATTAAAAACCCTGGCTAGCTACAGCTACCTCCTCAAAACTCTTTTCCCTGCTGCTGTCCTTCCTACCAGAAACCACTTCTGCCTCAAGTACCTGCTCAGGGTACATCCTCTTGCTTCAACTCCAACACAGGATTTCATCAGTGTCTCAATTGTCATGGAAATGAAATTCCACTTCCTAAGGAAAACCTGGTATTTGACACCCATGCCCAGAAGCAAGCATTGACAACAGCCCCATCTGACAACCTGACATGAAGGCAAGACCTAGGATAACAGCTGCAGGGCTCCAGTGCAGAGTGAATGAATGCCTGATTCTTGCCAAGCAAGGTGGGACAACAAAGCTCAGTCCTGTTCTGACTTCCACCACTGACTCCAGAAGTAAGTCCAGGGAGTTGAGCTGGTAGAAAGCCAAATCAGGCTCTGGCATGTGCTTATACTTTTTAATGAGAAAGAAGCATTATGAGAGAGATGGTGACTCTTCCTACCGCTTTATGATAGGATAATGTCTTAGAGCTTTTTCTCTCTCCATGAACTACAGAGGGAGTTAAGGTACAAGATTTTAACTATATGCCAGGCCTGAGTGTCAACAGATGGCCAGTGTATTTCGGAATGGTTTTTCTGTCATGAAGGCTTGTTTGTTTTCTAGCCAGTGTTCAGTGTACACATCTCTTCTGTGGAAGTCCAGCACATGCAAGCAATGTACTTTGTCCTGTTGCATCAGGAAGGTACCTCGCTTGTGCACTCATATTTTTCCTCACTAGGATGTCTCTAAAATAATTTATAAACTCATGCAGAACTGCACTCACTTATTCAGAGGAGAGTTTTCTCTAGTCACAAATGAAGCTGTCTAGCAGAAACACATCACTTCATTTTTTTACAGTTAAGGAATGGTGCTAATTTTTCATTGAAAATTTGTGCTTTTTCTCAGTCTAATGCAGGATGCTGACAGGCATGCAGTGACTGCAGAAAGTAAGTCTGAAATTAAAGAGATTCTGCAAAGGAAAGGGGTATTGATGGAGAACACATGGACTCACCATCAGTCTTCACACTCCAGGTCATCTGAAAACCATCGGTCATCAGATAGAAGTTCTTTAAATCCTCTGGCAACGTGCAGGAGTTTTTCTGCAAATCACATGACACACAAGTGTTATGAGGGAATGCAGAATGTGCCTTAATCTCAAAGAGCAACTGAATATTGGTACAGAAATATTTGCCATCAAATGTTTTGCTGAAGTTTAAGATGACTCAAACTATGACAACAGGCTGAGAGAGCTGGGCTTGTTCAGCCTGGAGAAGAGAACGCTCTAGGGGGACCTCATAGTGGCCTTCTCGTATATGAAGGGGTTACAGAAAAGCTGGGGAGGGACTTTAAACAAGAGTTTGTAGTACTAGGACAAGAAGTAATGGATCAAAACTAGAAGAGGAGAGATTTAGATTAGACATTAGAAGGAAATTCTTTAGTGTACAAGTGGTGAGACACTGGAACAGGTTGCTCAGGGAAGTTGTGGAAGCCCCATACCTGGAAGTGTTCAAGGCCAGGTTGGATGGGGCTTTGAGAAACAAGATCTAGTGGGAGGTGTCCCTGCCTATGGAGATGGGTTGTAACTAGATGATATTTAAGGTCCCTTCCAATTCAAACTATGCTATGATGCTATGATGAAATTTCTCTTCCTAAAACCTTGAGAGAAAACTACTTATTTCTTGTGGTCTATGCTACTGTATTAACAAAGATGACTTGGGAAAATGTCACAATGAGCAGCCAGTTATTACAGGATTGTTCCCCAACTGAGATGATATACCATCCTGTGAACTAACAGCCACTCTAAGATCACATATATAAGAAAGATCAGATTTTTTACATATACAGCTTTCAAGAGTAGAGGTTTGCTTTGAGTGAAATCAAACTAAACCTACCTATTCCACTAAAGCTTGTATAATATTAGCACAAGGACTCTCTTCTTCTGAGGCATTTCGGTTCCAAGCAGGTGATAGAAAAAATAGACTCAGCAGCTACACATAATCAAGCAGGCTTGACTTTTCACTTAACAAACAGCACGTGTGCCAATATTTAGTCAGTCTTACCAACTAGCTGGTATGGCTTCAACCCACCAAACTTCAGTGCTTGTCTGGGGTTTCTAAGCCTGACTCCTTCTGAGCCAACAGTGAAAGAAGCAACTCCAGTGAGCTGGTGAAAGTGCTTCAAAGGACCAGGACCCATCTCCTATATCTATTTTGATTGTGGAAAGAGCCTTTCTTAATTTCAGCTAAGCAACAAATATGAGCAAGGAAGGATAAAGGCTTAATCCTCACAATATCCAGAAGCCTAGAGAGCTACAGGCAACTGCAGGTAGTGGTCCTGATGACAGGACTGGCTGTAGCCTAGTGACCTGTACCTGATGATGTGTTAAGAACACAAAATTAAGCAATACAGAAGCACGTCAGTTTTAAGAAGACAAGTAACAAGCATGACTAAAGTAGTTATCTGTTGTTTTGTCTGTAATAGTTTTAGAGAAAAAAAGATAAAGCATCGTCAAACTCAAGACTCCCAAAGAATCAGACACAAAAACTCAGGATAGTCTTTGATGATACAGGTTCTACAATCTCCATGTGTACTTGTCCAAGGACTGCACCACCCTCCTTCTGAAAAATTTTTCTTAATTGTAGTTGGAGCCTTCAAGGTGCAGCTTATAATCTTCCTTTTAAGTCCCGTGTGTTGTAAAATCTGCTCAGGAAAAAAGAGACAAATAAGCCCCCTGAGGGTCAAGATTTGTCATTAGACCAGAAGGATATACAATTTCTTATTTAAATCTCTTTGATCTGAGACCTGTTCACAATCACAGGAATCTGGGAGCTACATTTTATGGGGAAAATGGACAAATAATGTGAGATTTACAACACAGCGTGCCTGATAATTCAAGTACTTCTGTGACAGGATTTTCCTAGCCTTTCCTAGAAAAGGCATAGCTCTTTCACTCAGCCAGTTTTAAAGACATGATGTTGAACATCGATGACTATTTGTGCAGTGAGTCTGACAGTTAAAGCAAGAACAGACAGAATTACAAACTTTAAGAACATTTATAGGCCAGTAGGGCTGTCCTTCATACAGGCTTACCATGCCACAGATCAAGATGTTATTCAGGTAGGTATTCATAGCCTGGCCTCAGAGACCTGAATAGGTTCAGAAGCAGTTATAGAATTGTTTTGGAGAAACGAGTCAGCTGTTAATAGCTTTCCAATACTGTGCCTCCGTTGGGACTACTTCTGTACCGCTACTAAAACATGTACCATTCAAAGACACATAAAAAGATGGGAAGGATATTCTGGTAACATGTAGCTAAGCAAAAGAAACATGTTCTTAAAGTTAATTTACTCTGCTTTACTTGGGGCATGAATTTGTAACATCTCTGGAGATGCCCATCAGGTTCTTGCCCGTATGTGTGACTTGTGCGTATCCAGTTACCTACCCTGATGTTGCCTCAATGCATCTATTCAGCAGGTGCTACCTGCCAGCTGTGCATCCAGCTGCACTGCTGGCCTCTAGTCATCAGTATCTAGCACGAGCAAGGGAAGGCATTGGCCTCCTCTTGTCCACATTCCTTTCCTCCCCTAGGACCAGAGTAGCCCTTCTGCCTGTTAAAACTTTCTGTGAGCTGTTAAGAGTCTCTGTCCCCAAACTGTGGTGCATATGCTGTGTGGGACCCTCTAACCCACCTACAATCTCAACTTCTGCCTGATAATTTACTTTCTAAGCATATCAGTTTATGGTGACAGACTGCTATTGACAAGTCCCAGATATTAATAGTTTTGCAGATTGCAAGAGGGCAGGTCACTTCACTTCTCCATCAGTAGCCTGGTCACTAGCACAGTGCTTTCCTAACCGAGGTAGTGAAAAACTTCAGAGGCAACAGGTATTAAAGCAGAGAATGTGATACGATAGAAATTTTGTTTTGAGAATAATTTACTGTCCCTTGATAATAGTCACTGATTGCTGAGATCCTGGTGGTAAGTTTCAGGAGATTACTAAACCACAAGGACATATCTAAAGTTTTTCAAATGCCTTTAACAAACACACCTTCCTCTATGGGTTCTTCTCAGCCCTAAACATTTATAATTTCATGCTGTTCTTTCACCACTTCCAATTTCAAACTGTAGCTGTAAGCACAGTGACTAGGGTTAAAACTATGAAACAAGAAAACATGACCTGCTACAAAAAGCACATCTGGCCTTCTGCTCTGAATCCTCCTTTCTGGATGGGAAGATTAACATGTGCATATTTTTCCAAGTGGCTGCCCTCCCCACTTTACTTTAGGATTCTCCTAAGAATGTCATAGAATCATAGAATCATTAGGGTTGGAAAGGACCTTAAAGATCATCAAGTTCCAGCCCCCCTGCCATAAGCAGGGAATCCTACCACTAGATCAGGTTGCACAAAACCTCATCCAACCCGGCCTTAAAAACCTTCAGGGATGGGGCATCAACAACCTCCCCAGGCAACCCACTCCGGTTCCTCACCTCACCTTCACTTCGTAAGAGTGAAGAATTTCTTCCTAATATCTAACCTAAATCTCCCCTCTCTCAGTTTAAAACCATTAACCCTTGTCCTATCACCATCTTCTCTGATGAAAAGCCCCTCCCCAGCTTTCCTGTAGCCCCTTTCAAGTACTGGAAGGTGCTATAAGGTCTCCCTGGAGACTTCTCTTCTCTAGGCTGAACAGCCCCAACTTTCTCAGCCTGTCTTCATAGCAGAGGTGCTCCAGGCCTTTAATCATCTTGGCTGCCCTTCTCTGGACCCTCTCCAACAGGTCTATACCTTTCTTGTGCTGAGGGCACCAGTGCTGTACACAGTATTCCAGGTGGGTTCTGACCAGAGCAGAGTAGAGGGGCAGAATCACCTCCCTGCTGGCCACACTTCTTTTGATGCAGCCCAGGATGCAGTTGCTCTTTCGGCTCCAGCACACACTGGTGGCTCATAGAATCAGAGAATCCTGGGGGTTGGAAGGGACCTCGAAAGATCATCTAGTCCAACCCCCCCGCCAGAGCAGGGTCACCCAGAGTACATCACATAGGAAAGCATCCAGGTGGGTTTTGAATGTCTCCAGTGAAGGAGATTCCACAACCTCCCTGGGCAGCCTGTTCCAGTGCTCTGTCACTCTCATAGTAAAAAAATTTCTTCAGATATTCACCTTGAACCTCCTATGCTCCAACTTACACCCATTACCCCTTGTCCTATCACTGGTCTTCACTGAGAAAAGCCTAACTCCATCTCCCTGACACTCACCCCTTACATATTTGTAAACATTGATGAGGTCACCCCTCAGTCTCTTTTTCTCCAAGCTAAAGAGTCCAGAAGCTTCTCATCAGCTACCACCCCCAAGTCCTTCTTCTCAAGACTGCTCTCCAGCCAGTCTTCCCCCAGCCTGTGTTTGTGCCTGGGGTTGTGCTGACCCAGGTGCAGGACCTTGCACTTGGCTTTGTTGAACTTGATGATGTTGGCACTGGCCCACCTCTCCAGCCTGTCAAGGTCCCTCTGGATGGCATCCCTTCCCTTAGGGTGTCAGCCACACCACACAGCTTGGTATCATCAGCAAATTTGCTGAGGACACATTCAATCCCACTCTCCATGTCTCCAACAAAGATGTTAAACAGCACTGGTCCCAGTACCGACCCCTGAGGGACACCACTCATCATCTGCCACCATTTAGACATTGAGCCATTGAACACAACTCTCTGGGTGCAGCCACCCAGCCAATTCCTGATCCACCGAGTGGTTCATCTGTCCCTTTGTACGACTTTCTGAATGATGGTGCAAAAATGCATGAGTGGAAAATGCTGTACAAGGGCAGATCTGAAGTCTACAGGAAAAATCTTTATATAAAAAGCTTCACTACTACTCATCTCTCCCATCTGATGGGAAGGATTTATTGATCTGTCATGTGACCCTGTGACATCAAGAGGTGGTCTTCTGATAGCAGTCAGAGAAACAAGTCACTACTACATATTAAAAATGACTTCTCAAGCTCTGTAGTTTTTCCAGTTGTGATCTCCAGCCCCTTAAAAACACAATATTTCTAATAACATGTCAGAAATGGCTTAACCACAGTTCTGACAAGCAGCTGTTTTCCCTCTAGTCATCTGATGACACTCATCAGCTCATAAAACAAAATAGCCCAAGAGCCCACTATGGTATGTGAGGTCTATTTCTTTTTTTATTGCCCAAAATACCTCCAAACAGTCTCCCAAGAAAGCACAGTCTATTGAGGATAGAGAAGATTACTAGAACCAGGGCAATTTTGCTACCAAGACCTAATAAGTGCTGGATGCAGAGCTAAAACATGGACATACAGAAAATCACTTAAAGCACTGCTGAAACAATGACTCCCAAGCAAATATCCTGAAGAAGCAGACAGCAATCACATAACACTCTAGAGAAATTTCTCTAAAGAGCTCCATGAGTTTTATTCAGGTTCTACGGAAAGATGGAAGAGATTTATCTAACTTCTTAGTGCTTCCAAGCAGCAGACCACATCAAGAGCCACTCTTCTCTCCCTTATGTCACGCAGTTTCATGACCCATCTGCCATAGCTGCCAGGGAATGTAGAAGGCTTTAATGCATGTAACATGCTGAGACATTCTTGTTGCACCTTTTATAAATCCTATCTGGGGGCACTCCATCACAACAGAAATACCTTTTATTTGCAAAACTGGGGCTGGAAAAATTGTTTCTAGGAAAAAAAAAGGCAAAAAAAAATTATTAAGAATAGAGATTTTATTTGTCTTAATGAAAAGAGAGGGTTTATTTGGGGGAAAACCAATGAAATTTTGAGAATAGCTTGATCATTTTCCCTAAATCACAATAAAAGCCCTGAAAATACTTTCTCAGCCAAAGATGTAGAGGGGAGTTAAAAATGTCACAAGACCTCGTTAAAATCCCAACTATGGAGAAATTATTACGCATGTAAGTATTGCCACCTAGTGGCTAAAAAAATAAATAAACCAGTGAATAAAAGTTAACACGGTACATAGAACAGCTGCAGTCAAATGCAAGCAGCATGAGCTTGACAAAAAGTGAGGCACAAGCTTGTCCTGGAAGGGCCTCGTGAGGTGCTGATGCATTGCACTCAATAACCACTGCAGGGCACGCTGCAATTGCATGGACTAGATATCAGTGTTAAGATATCAGACTTCATCCTAGAAGCTCAATAAAGAAGGGAGAAAAAAAAGACTTATCTTTTAATTGGAAAACGTGGATTTGAGGTTTTGTCAATGCAACTGGAAAGAAACAGACCATGAAGTCCTTCACCATTAGTAGTCCAGCTTATCTGTATGTACTTTATTTTTACCATTCACTTCCACAGTTAACAGTCCAGCAGTGTGGTGGGGGTAGCTGCAGGTTTTGACATCTTTTGAGCAAAGCGCTTTGGTTTACGGTGTTTCAAAGTTTCATTTTACAATAATAGTTCAGATTTGAAACAAACCAAATTTAGCTCAGAGGAGTAGCTGCTCCCAAAGCTGAGCTGGCTCACAGTCAGGGTACCTCAGACTTCCCAGCACTGTTAATCTGACACCTGAACAACAGCTACAGGAAATCAGGAATCAGTCCACACAAACTTGAAAAACCAGACACTTCTGCCTGACCATGGTTGCTGACTACAGTACAGGTTTCAGTAAATAACACAGGTTTACATCAGATACAATCTGACTTGGATTTATAACTTTGTGATAAATACCACTAATTGGGATAGGGCGTTACCAAAACCAGTACAAGACTTCTCCTAAATGACTACTGTTTATGAAAATCTGTAAAAGGCCAGGCGGCATACAAGGTAAAGTTATTTTATATAGTGGTAACAAGAGCAGTCTCTGGGAATGTGTGCATTAGGGCATGGCTAGGGTTGGAGGAAGAGGTTGATTTGCTCAACACGACCCACTGCTGTGCCTCTTTCCAAAGGCCAGTCAGCTTCCACTGAT